CTTTAAGGATATAGTGATTCTTTCTAAAATATCACCAGGCTCTTTGTGGATCCCCTGCTGACTGCCAGCAGTCTCCCACCTAGCTAACTCTCACCTGGGTAGCGTACAGCCTACAGGTATTATGGATCTCTGCTCCCCTTCAGGTTCTTTCCCACAGTCTCTTCTCTTCCACCCTTTTCTCCATACTGTCTAAGCTAACAGTTAAAAATCTCAGTATTTGACCCACTAAATTGTGCATAGGTTCTAACAACCTGATTTACAGTCAATTAATAAGATTTAACCCTACATAGCATACTATATAACTTACTTTTTATTTTTTTTATTTATTTTCTGTATCTCTTAAAATATTAGTTCCGTCAAGGCAGGAATCTTAGTCTGTGCTACTCAGAGATATATCTCAAGCATCTAGAATAGTGCTTGGCCCATACTAAGTGCTCAATTAATATTTATGGCAAGACTTAATTAAAGCAATCTATGATGTCATTTCTGCTCTTCCAGGCAGTAGTACTTAACATATAATCCTTGTTGAGTGTTTCAAATGTGCCAGACGTTGTCTTAAGTATGTTATATGAATTGACCCTTTGTTCTTCGCATTAGCCCTATGAAGATGCTACTATTAGTGTTCCCATTTTACAGATAAGAAAACTAGAGCTTACAGAGGGTGAAGAACCTTGCTCAAGGTAATACTGGTAACAAGTGGCTGAGTCCCAAAAAGCACAGGCAACTTACTTTCAAAATATTATACATTTTAAAGGTAGTTTCTCCTTCATCTAAGCCAAAGAATAATTCTAATGGTGGATATTTTAGGTTAAAGAGAAAGCAGAATGATGCATGACAAGCCAGAAAGGAAGATACTGAAACGCAGAAAATTATTCTCACATGTTCCATCAAGGCAAGCCCATCTGGAGAAACTCTACAAGCTGGCATACCATGAGAGTTGTGTTTTATTGTTACTAGTAGAATCTTGGCTTTCTCTGATTCTTCTTGACTTTCAGTATTTTTCTCTCCCTCCCTTTTTCAGCCCACTCTCTTGACCATGTATTGGGTAGATAAGCTTTTAGAGAGGAAATGTGATCTGCTTTGTGCTTCACCAGGGCTCATCAGGAAGTGCAGTGATAAACTGGGAGAGGAAGGCAGGCGCACCAGTGACAGAGTCACTGCCTGGACCAGGAGGGTGGTGCTGGGATCAGTGCAGCATGGGAAGGATGATATGGAGATACAGGACTTGGAATTTGCCAAATATTTGGAGATAGAATGAAGGAGTGAGGGAGGAGTCAAAGGTAGGTGACTCTGAGGGGAAAGTTTCAAACTGGCTTGACTGGAAGAATGGTGGTGACGTGAATGGAGGAGCAAGATGAAGAAATACATTTTCATGATGATTTTTTCCTGAAATGCTGTCAGAGTTGCCACTAGTGAGGGTGGAATAAAGACATTTCCAGACATGCAAAATCTCAAACAATGTAGCTTCTGTGCAACCTTTGACAGGAAGTTTCCGACAGATGTGCTCTGCCGCCATGAGGGTGTAGACCACAAAAATAGACATGGGGTCTCGGCAGGAGGAGGGACTGCACAAGACAGAGGCAAAGTGGCTCCCCAGGATGATGGCAAGGGGTGATCTCTAGATGGCAGCTGACAGTCCAGATTGGAGCATGTCAGAAGACTTCAGGAAGGATTTCTTCAATAGGATAATTTGATAAAATAGAAACATATTTGTGAATTTTGAGAGGAGGTTTATCTCTCAAGGAGAGAGTTTATTAATTAATGATTAATGAATGAAAAATGGAAGTGAAGACCTCTAATATCTAGAGAAATCAAAAAGTTATACATGAAAAAGTGTGTAGACTACAGGTTTCAGTTTGGAATAAATTTACATAGAATTATTAATGTAAATACTTAACACTAATCTAAACACAAGACGTTCCATTAGAAGAATGGAAGAAAGCAGGAAGAAGTGGTATGTGCAAGGGAGTTAGAATTGTGACAAAAAAAGAGTTAAATTGTCATTTTATTTACTTGAAAATCAAGAAATAATTATCAAAGTAAAAAGTCAAGAGCCATCTTGTTTAGAGATACAAAGGCTGAACAAATGAGTCAGCTAAAAGCAGTGTGTTTGCCTCTGGATAAACAGAAAGGGGTAGTGGGGGGCAGGTGGTGATGATGAAGGTCTGCTTTTTAAAAATAACAAGCCTTATAGAAATACTTGAAAACTTAAAATAGCTGTATATGCAACTTTGACAAATTAAAAACTAAATCCTAAAAGAAAGCAATGGAAAAGAAATTTGTCTTAGCAAGATGGATGATAATTTCAAAACAGGCTTAATTTTGAAGGAAAAATATGAAGATAATGCAGTTAAGGAAAATGAAAATTAGGAAATTTTAGGGTATGTGGTTTCACAGTACCCTTTACCTAGAAAGAATGAGCTCATGTCTTCTACAAAATGTCCAAGCAGTTGAACATTAGAAAATGATGGGAATATATGAAAGAGACAAGAAGACTCACATAAAAGAATTACCAAGCATCAAGAGGATCAAACTCAAATTAAGTGACCTGAATTTGTGGAGTACCTTGTCAGAGAAAGTTTATGTTTTTCTGTAGCAACTGCTCTCAATACCAGAAATAAGCAATAGTGAACATGGGGATTAATTATTAGTCAGGAAATGATGAAGGTGAACTAAAGAAAGGAAGCGATTCAGTTTTTTTCCCTAGTCCTTTGATAGTTAGGGAGGCAAGTAAAGCTAGGTTTGGGGAACATCAGGGAAACTGCAAGAGATCAGGGACTAGAGGTCATAATTAGAAGAACAAAATAGGAAAAAAGTATCAGAGGCTGATGTCAAAGATGAAGGTTGCAGCATTTGAGATTGTAGAGCAGAACTTCAAGCCATGATGAGGTAGGCCAACTTTCAGTCCAGGGAGGCAGCCAGCATCAGTTGGGTCAATAGTAATAGGTGACACTGACTGATGTCACCGATCACAGAAAGAAGAACTCGGTCACAGAGGTCTGAAGTGCAAGATGGAGATGGAAAGCAATTTAGTGAGCTGACAGTACTGATGGGCCTCCCAAGAAGGGCACAACTCCAAATGTTCACTAAAATTTGGTATAGCCGTGTTACTCCAAACAAGTCAGCAGCCCTGGAAATTGCCCTCAGTCATGAGGTCCTGGTCCTCACATGGTGCTAGGAATGCATTATCATACTGCAAGCAGTAAAGTAAAGTGTGTAGCTTCTGAAATCTGCAGATAAATTAGTAAGAAAAATTGAGTCTTTGTTATGTGATTTTTTCTTAATGATTAAATTGTGTTCTAAATAAACAGAAATATAAATTGATTGCCAAAACCCATGTTAATGCACTTTTAATTCACAAGAGTTAAGCACATAAAAGCAAAGATATTGAAAGTTAAGGTTCTCATAGAAACATTAATTTGACAATATTATGCATACTCAGTGTAGATGGTTTGTATTTTATAGCATAAAAGCAGTAGGAAATATGGCAAAATGTGGCTCAGTTAAACAAAATAACCAATTCAGGGAAAGTCATTAAACATGATTATGGAAAAAAATTGTTTTGCAAACCCCAAAGAGAAGTTATAAAACTTGATTTTAGGAAATAATAACTTCAAGTCTTAAAAAATGTTTACAATAGGAATTATTCATTTTTACCCAAAATCAGATTTCTCTGGCATATTATACATTCTGACATTAGCTTCTGCTTCTCAGTTGCAGTCCAGATTTGATTTTAATAGACCAAAAGGAGAACTGACTGGCTATTTTCATGAGCTAGTTGATAAAGATTTCAAATGCAAAGAATAAAAGTAAAGTTTAAGGATTTAAAATGCTTTTTTAGCATATAGACAATATGGGGGAGTCTTTATATATGAAGTCAGCCAGTGTACTACTTTGCTTATATATTTGGCCTCTGTATATTTCTGCATACTTATTTGCATGTATGCATTATGTAAATTCCAGTTTGGCCATGCAAAATGCCTTATGTAGGTGGCATAGAAAAAGGAAGAAGCCTGGGGCATGTTCAGGGAAGGAAGTATTACCTGGAAACAAACCTGCAGCCTTGAATATGCCTCTGCTTCTGCTCTTGCCTCACAAACTGGACAGCATGCCTGGAAGTGTGTATTCTCCAGGAGAGCTGTACTGAGCCACCATCTGAGCAGCTGATAATCCTGTCACCTTGGCCCTCATAGCTCCATTCCCTCTACAGATGATGGAGGGGTCGGGAACAGTGGTCCCATGCAGTAACCCCTGGTAGGGAGTCACTTCCCAATTCAGTCAGAATTAGAGGCAGTAAGGAAAGAAGGAAGGTCGCATAAGGGAGAGCCTGTGTGATGGAGTAAGAGAAAGTTTCTTCTTGTCAAATTAGATACTGTATTCCCAGTATCACAATTACTAGTGCAGTTTAATTATTATACAATTCCAATTATTATATAATTTTAAGTAATCGTAAAGGTTTTGTGATCCTTTAAATCAAATAAAAATGGCTTTGGATGCAAAATTTAACAAACGAAAACCAACAAACGGTTTCCCCCAAGAGAAAGCAGATTATTAAAATAAAAAGATAAATGGACATTTTTCTAAGATCACTAGTTTCCATTGTATTATATGTCACAGCACAGCAGTTTGCAGGACAATAGAGGTTCATTCACAGAGTGAAATACATAAATTCCTGAACTAGCAGACTGCTGGCCCAATATTCAAACCACCTCTTCAAAAAGGGCACAGTGTTCTTCAGTTTTTACTGAAAAATATATGCAGCCATATTCCATGGCAATGAACTCTTTATAAGCTTGATGAAGAAAAGTCCTTGTACATTTACTTTAATCTATACCCCCTGCTGTTTTCTGTTGCCAAACAAACAGAAGGACAAATGCAAAGTGCCAACTTCCAGATGTACAAACAAGTGGCACTGAATATTCAGAAATATGATGGTATTTTTAAAGTTCAACCACAAATCACTCAGCATCTTTCTTTTGTTTTTACTTTTCTTTATTCAGGCACCACAAGGCCACATAAGGAGGGTGAGGTCCCTGGAGTGGATTATATTTTCATCACTGTTGAAGATTTTATGGAATTGGAGAAAAGTGGTGCTCTCCTAGAAAGTGGGACTTATGAAGGTAAGCACAACGTTCCTGTGAAATCTCTTTCTTGTTGACATCACATTGTTCTCATTCGATTAAAATGTATTGGGACACCAGGTTGCCAATGGGCTGTTTTGGGTTTGAGAGCTTTACTAAGATGAGTTTAGAAATGTATCCTAAAAAAATTAAAATACATCTCAATTAAGTGTACTTTTATATGCGTAGAGAAAAATATATATGTATTTTTAAATATTTCATATTTAAAAAAAAAAAAAAATATATATATATATATATATATCCATTGAAGTATCCTTGTGATTGTCTATTGAGGTTAAGCTGTGATCTTCCAGATAAAATGTCTTTATCTCAAGATGGTATCTGAAAGATGGTGGGACTAAAATTCTTGTCCTGTCATTATCTCTGTGTGGCTTTCTCAGATTACTCTACCTCATTGGCCTTCACTTTCCTCCTATGCAAAATGATGGGGTAGAAAAAATATGATCTGTGAATGAACTCCAAAGCTCTAGAGCAATAAAAGTCTCCTTGTGTACTCAAATCAAAAATGAACATCAAATTAAACCAAAACCTTGAATGCAGAAAACATGCCTCAGTTAAAGGAGCACTGATACATGAGCCGAAATCCCATTTCAAACTAGGCTTCATTATTTATCTGTTATAAAAATTAAGTAACAGTAAATGTCACTGAACTTAGTAGTCTCTTTGGTACAAGTAGAATGATGGCATTACAAATACAAATAAATATGTTGAGATGATTGCACTAACCAATTTGGATAACATGTATATGCATCTAGCTTATATCTAATGAAACTATATATCTTCATATATAATATAATGAAATTTTAACATAACAAAAAGTAGAAAATATTTCATTCCTACTTCACAGTTATGAAGTATGTACACATACTATTCAGTCCAAAGATTAATTTGGTTTTATTGAACTGCAATTAATAGTGAGTGATATTAGAAACAAAATTCATAATATATAGTTTGCTGCTTAGCCTATCATACATGTGAAATTCACCAAACATCATCAAATAAGCTGGGTTTTCCATGTTAACAGTTTGGTCTTCTACTTCCTCCTCGGTTGACAGTGATGTGTCTCTTAATGAAAGGGATACTTCTGAGAAATGCATGGTTAGGCTATTTCATCATTGAGTGACTAGCATAGAGTGTTTGTTAGACACAAACCTAGATGGTACAGGCTGCCACATCCTAGGCTACGTACTGTAATCTGTTGTCTCCAGTCTACAAACCTGTATGGCATGTTACCATACTGAATACTGCAGGTAATTGTAACTCAATGGTAAGCATTTGTTTGTCTAAACATACCTACTCATAGAAAAGGTTAAGTTAAAAATATGGTATAAAAGATTGAAACGGTATAGCTATATAAGGTACTTACAATGAATGGAGCTTGCAGGACTATAAGTCGCTCTGGGTGAGTCCAGAAGTGAGTAAGTGATGAGTGAATGTGAAGGTCTAGGAAATTACTACTCACTTCTGTAAACTTTATAAGCATTGTACACCAAGGCTACATTAAATGTATTTTAAAATATTTTTTCTTCAATAATAAATTAACCTTAGCTTACTGTAACTTTTTACTTTATAAGCTTTTATTTTTTTAACTTATTGACTTTCTTGTAGTAATACTGGGTTTCAAACACAAACACATTGTATAGCTGTACAAAAATATTTTTCTTTCTTTGTACCCTTTTTCTATGAGCTTTATTCTATTTAAAATTGTCTTAACTTTTTAAACTTTTTTGTTAAAAACTAAGATGCAAGCACACACATAAGGCTATGCCTACACAGGGTCAGGATCAATATCACTGTCTTCTGTCTTACATCTTGGCCCACTAGTATGTCTTCAAGGGCGATAACAGGCATGGAGCTGTCATCTCCTATGATAACAAAGCCTTCTTCTGGAATACCTCCTAAGGACCTGTCCTAGGCTGTTTAACAGTTAAAGTTTTTTTAATAAGCAGAAGGAATACACTTTCAAATAATAATAAAAAGTAAAATATAACAAAGCCAGTAATATAGTCATTTATTATCATTATCAAGTATTATTGCTGTGCATAACTGCATGCACTATACTTTTTTTTCTTCTTCAACTTTTAAGTTACATAGGTAAATATGTGCCTTAGTGGTTTGCTGCACATATCATCCCATCACATAGGTATGAAGCACAGCATCCATTAGCTATTCTTTCTGATGCTCTCCCTCTTCTCAGTGCCTCCCCAAAGGCCCCCAGTATGTGTTGTTTCCCCCCATGTGTCCTTGTGTCCATGTGTTCTCATCAATCAACTCCCACTTATAAGTGAGAGCATGCATTGTTTGGTTTTCTGTTCTTGCATTAGTTTGCTGAGAACAATGGTTTCCAATTCCATCCATTTCCCTGGAAAGGATATTATCTCGTTTCTTTTTACGGCTGCATAGTATTCCGTGGTATATATGTACCACATTTTCTTTATCCAGTCTTTCATTAACCATCCAGAATATAGGCATGGGTAAAGATTTCATGATCAAAACACCAAAAGCAATTGCAACAAAAGCAAAAATTGACAAATGGGATCTAATTAAAGTAAATAACTTCTGCACAGCAAAAGCAGCTATCATCAGAGTGAACAGACAACCCACAGAATGGGAGAAAATGTTTGCAATCTATCCATCTGACAAAGATCTAATATCCAGAGTCTACAAGGAATTTAAACAAATTTACAAGAAAAAATAACCCCATTAAAAAGTGAGCAAATGACATGAACAGACACTTCTTTTAAGAAGACATACACGTGGCCAACAAACATATGAAAAATCTCAGCATCACTGATCATTAAAGAAATGCAAGTCAAAAGCACAATTGAGATACCGTCTCAAACATCAGAATGGCTATTAAAATGTCAAAAAACAACAGATGCTGGTGAGTTTGCTGTACTTTTATACAACTGATAGAATGGTAGATTTGGCTATACTAACATCTCCACAAACACATGAGTAATGCATTGCACTATGATGTTACAAGGGCTGCAGTGTCACTGGGCAATAAGAATTTTTCAGTTCCATCATAGTTTTATGGGAACACTGAGATATATGTGGTCTGTCAGTGACCAAAATGTCATTAGACAGTGCATGACTGTTCTTAGTTACATAGTTTAGTGGACTGTAGTTAGTCAAGAACTCAGTAGTTTGAAATTGTTTGAAGTTGTTAAAAATATTAAAATCTCTTCCGTTACTTACCTTTTTTTTTTCTTTTTTGAGAAAGAGTCTCACTCTGTCACTAGGTTGAAGTGCAGTGGTGCAATCTCAGCTCTTTGCAACCTCCACTGCCCAGGTTCAAGCGATTCCCCTGCTTCAGCCTCCCAAGTAGCTGGGACCACAGGCGTGCACCACCACATCCAGCTAATTTTTGTATTTTTAGTAGAGATGAGGTTTTACCATGTTGGCCAGGATAGTGCTGATCTTTTGACCTCATGATCTGCCCGCCTCAGCTTCCCAAAGTGCTGTGATTACAGGCATGAGCCACCACGCCCGGCCCCATTTCTAAGGCAATCTAGGCAGAGACATTTGCCTAAATTGTGGCTGAGACATTTAACTGCTTCTTGCCACATTTACAGGAAATAGGCAAAAATACCCAAGAAAAGGAAATGGTTTTATGCATTGTTGCTGTATCTTCTTCATATTGTCAAAAGTAAAAGATAGTAGAGATTGATTTAAAACATTTTAAATAAAGAAGTTGTGTTGCTGGGCATGGTGGCTCACACCTGTAACTTAGCACTTTGGGAGACTAAGGCAGGCAGATCACCTGAGGTCAGGAGTTTGAGACAAGCCTGGCCAACATGGTGGAACCCTGTTTCTACTAAAAATAAAAATTAGCTGGGTGTGGAGGCACATGCCTGTAATCCCAGCTACTCACGAGGCTGAGGCAGGAGAATTGCTTGAAGCTGGGAGATTGAGGTTGCAGTGAGCCAAGATTGTGCCATTGCACTCCAGCCTGGGTGACAGAGCAAGACTCCATCTCAAAACAAAAAAAAATAAATAAGAAGTTGTGTTGATAATCTAAAGCTGCCTTAAACTATATATGAAAATTAACTGTGTAAATAATAGAAAATAATTTTATCAAAGGTGTTAGATTAAATAATACATTTTACAGAATATTTTCCTATGGGCTTTGTGACATTATTTAGTAACATTTGTTAGTTTGCACGCGATTTAATAATATATCATACTTTATAACCTTATTTAAATATAATTTATGTAAGAATGAAGCAGTGCCTTAACAGATAGGATCATTAAAAGAGTGGCATGATTAACAATATGACTTTTTGTTTATAAAAATAAAGACTGTGTAAACTGATTTTATATAAGCTGAAAAATTAAGTCAAATGTTAATGGTAAATTTCCATTGTTCTCATGATCCACTAGATGTCATGTCATTTAATATCTATATTTTAAAACATAGCTTAAACTTGAGGTTCCAATTCACTTTTGAAAGTAACATCCTGAAACTGTATGAACATAACTAAGTTTTGTGAGACAGAATGGGTTACCTTGAATCTTCTTCAGACACCTTTTCAGTAATGATAATTTCGTTTGCTGGGTTTGGTGCCAACTTAATTGGCCTAGTGTACATAGAACTGATTATTGGAGAGTAAGGCTGACTCTCATGTAATACTTTGCCAATTATATCAATACCATTGCTTACAAATACACATTGTATGCACAGATAAATAAGAATCTCCTTTCTCAGGTCACATAATGACCTGAATAAACACCTAGGGAACAACTCAAACCTCAGGAGCTTCAGGTTTTCCTGTAACTACAGATGAAGAACCAACAAAATTCACCTTCTAATACAAATTGCTGCACTTCTTCAGTGTTGGCCATAAGCTTAGACCTAGGGCTACCACTTAATGTGGTTTTGGGGGGTTTTGTTTTTGTTTTGTCAGGAAAAGCTAAGGAATGTCTTTTGCACTGTTGGTGCTTTTAGAATATACCGAATTATGTGCTACTCAACT